CCAGAAAACATCTGAACCCAGGGTAGCATAAAGCTGACCTTACTCTAAAATCTAGCGCTTAACTGGGGTTTGCTTTTTTCCTGTAGTTTAATTTCGATCAAAAGACTGACATTGCAGCAGAAAGCTCGAGTGAAACTAGATTTTGTGGCCCCACAGCAGACAGGAAACCATTCATATGTCCTATACTTCATGTGTGACGCATATCTGGGATGTGATCAGGAATATACGTTCAAGATTGATGTGAAACAACCTGCCAGTGATGAAGAAAGCGACGAGAGTACATAAATTGTTGCTGAAGAACTGAACAAAAGAATCCTTTAAAGTATTAGCTCATGTGCTACTTGATTTTCATATATAGGTTCAGGCCGCCCTGGCAATCTGAGACTATAGGTCTTCTGACTCTTCATATATAGAGTTTGTTAATAAAGGCTCAGCCGTGGTCATTAATGAACTGGGAACTTTTGCCAACATAATAGAGCCGAGGTATGTTTTCAAGGCAAAGCTTTGATTTTTGCACATACTATTGAACAACAGACACGAGAAACACTACTTTACCTGATGATCATAATGCTACATGTGGCTTATATCTTGGTTTCGGTCCCTGGACGTAACAAAGAGAACAACGTATTTTGAAGGTATATAGTTTTTACTTTTACAGTACACACATATAGCTTTTTCAAAAAAGGTTTTCCTTAAAAAATCTTAAACCTTAAACATTGAGCGCGCAACGGACGATGGGTATCTTCCTATTTAGAGTCTTAAACCCGGGATATTTAATTGGCAACAATGCTAGCGCATTTAATGAACACTTTCGATGTAGGGCTATTTGGTTTACTAAGGCAATGCCCAATCTAAGGCTCCAAATGAACAATACCCATCATACCACCGCGCTCAATGTTTTAAGATTTTTTGAAGGAGAACCTTTTCTGAATTAGTTGTTATATCCTTGCACAAGAACGGGAAGACTGTCGTATAAAGCTTCATGGTACAGCTATGGTATGTGACCCTCGAAGTAACTAGGAACCTTAGTTAACTTAATTAAGCAGGAACCAGATGTTTTCAGAAGATCTGTCGTTTTGCGCTCGTGGGCAAAGCTTTACAACTCCAATGACTTGTAATGTCGAACAATCATGTTTTGTATTTTACGATGTTTTGTAATGAAAGTAAGTGTACTGACTACCTTAGATTTTATTCATTTGTAAAGTTAGCAGTGTATATTGGAATAGTTATGAATACAAACACTAATAAACCTTTTTGAATTGTGACGTAGCGAAGATGGGGGAAGTGTATATTCTCGTTGGGGAAGTGTATAGCGGTTAAATTACGTTCTACGTTACCTAAAAGCAGTGTATGAGATTTAGTTTGTTATTTTATGAGTGCATTCGAGTAGCCGGTGTTTTTTTTTCGAAAAATATATTGCGAAATGTCTCGTGCTTTCGTCATGAAGTTAATGATTTTCATTGCTCAAAAATTGGCCCCGTCCCCCCCCCCCCCCCCCCCCGAGGGCCGCCCTGCGTTGGTACTTCATCCACGCAATAAAATTACACAATATATTATGTTACAATGCAAGAGTTTTATTTTATAAGTACTCTACCATAGAAATAATAGATATCTATCATTTCTATGTGCTCTACACATGATGCATTTAACTGAGTCCGAATTTCTATGATATGTTGACAGATTTTTTCCCGATAAACCTTCAGGTATTCATTCTAAAAATATGGACAAGGAAAAAATATTAACAAAGGGCAAACTAGAGGGCACTCGGGAGCTACATAGTAACTCCGGCAGCGTTGGATAGTGCTATTCGGCTCTCTTACCACTGACCAGAAGACCTAAAATGGTCATTTCGGAACAAAGCAATACACCCTTCGGGAAAGTACAGTACGTCAATTTGATTATACAGGAAATACCAATTTGGATTCGGATATCATTGTACAACTGTGGCCCTTCGTGATGGTACTAATCAATGGTATTCAAATATGGATAAATTTGCTTGATATTGTCGCTTTCTTAGAACTTAAGAAAGTTTTTGATACCATTCATCATCAAATTTTTTATCGAAAAGATGAATATATGTATGGTAAAACAACGCTCACTAAAATCTCTATAAATGGTACTTTATCTCATTCAAAATTGATTAAGTGTGGAATTCCTCAATGACCAACTTTAGGGCCACTCGCTTCATAATGTATATAAATGATCTGCCAAATTGTCTAAACTTTAGTCTTCGGAAAGGATGCTATATGATACATCACTGCTGTTGATGGCAAGTCGATACATGAAATTACGTCGGCCATGATTTATGATTTAAATAATGTAATGGCTGACAAGCTTATGTTAGCTAGCTATGAGGTTAATTTAATTAATGGCGTAACTGGAGGGTGTCCAGAGACGGAAGCCCCCACGCCTCAATTATAGAAGGCTTGAAAATTGGCAACTGGTGGCCCCGAAAAGCAGGAATTAATGAAATTTGGACCCCTTTTTTAGTACACATGGGTGGGGGGAAATTTTTCTGACTTTTAATTGTCATAGTACGGAAAATTTTTTTGAATCCCTTTTTTCAATGAACATGGTTTGAAAAATGTTTCTTCTCTCCCCACCGCCAGCCAAGTTTTTTTGGGAAAAAAAGGGGGCCCACTTCAAAATTTTGAAGGGAGCCCTCCGGAGGTTGCGTTACGCCACTGTCAATTATACTGTATATGTTACTGTATATGTTGCATGCTTTACTGTTACTGCTATACTGCGTTACTTTTTATTTTATTATTATACCGCCATATTTACAGCAATATAAGCAGAACTTACTAAACTTTAGACATCATTTTCTCTTTGGCGTACCATCTAAAATCTCTTCATTTTAGCATAATTTTACAGATAAAAGCACCAAACATACCTTTTTTTAAAAAAGTGTTTTTTTCTAGTCTATGTTCAAACTTAAAAGTTTGTTTGCCGATTGAGAAACGTATCGAAAAATAAACATTTTGAATGTATAGTTATAACCGCTAGTGGTATGTACTGACATTAGTTTTGAGCGCATGTTACGTAACATACAAAAACATCTCTTAAAAATATTTACAATTCCGCAAGATTTGTGACAACTTTATCTTAGCATGGGTGGTTTGGGGTCTTCTGCATGGTTATCTAACTAATTACTAACCCTTGTTTGCGATTCACTTCCCTCCTCCAAATCCTCCGTAAATAATGCCCTCCTGCTTTTTTCCATATTTGCCACACTTGCTATAGCTGCCATATTTGCGCCCATGACCATGGTTAAATTTGCGACGCAGAGAACGATACCTGCTTGGGTCTGCTTGAAATCCAGTGCTACAAGAGAGATTTTTGATTAGCAAACAGCCAGCCAATGGTGAAATCAGCTGGACATTAAACTCAAAATTCTGAAAATTTTCACCAACTTTTCGACATTGTCCTCCTCTTCATCTTTCCGCATCAAAGTATTGTCGTCATTTTTCAACACTTCCTTAACCAAACCATATTTATAAGTGCCTCGAGCTTCTTTTTCGATTTGAATTGCATAAGCCACAGCAAAGAGCATAGAAAGAGCGACTATCTTCATCTTTGACATCTATTATCTTTGAATGCCTGTCTTCTGTACTTTGATTTAACTAATTTCAAGCAAAGACTTTTGCCATTTTTATACTCGCTGATTATGGTAATTTAATTCACTTTGTTGCATATACCAAGTCGTATTGTAACATTAACTGATTTGATATGTCACTTAGGATTCCATAGAAACTAATCCATATTACCCAAGTGTTATAATATCGGTTTTCGATTTTAATACTTGAAAAAGTATAACGCGTACGTTTTTCTTTGTAAGAGCTCGAGAAATTAGAAACAAGAAATTACATAAAAGTTACGCACACGAAAATAAACTGAACTAAACCAAAAGGTAAACTGTAAAGTAAACTAATAAAACTTAACTGAATAAAACTAACTTTATATATCATACATGTAAATAATAGTTACTACATATCTTTTAATTGGCTTACGGTTAAATCAGTATTAAATTTAGGCAATCGCACAACCCTCAAATGACTGAATTATATCTGCTAGCAAATCTGGTTGACCGGGGGGCGTAAAATCGCATCGCTCAAAAGGGTGACTGTACCTTTGACGATTTATTAATAAAACGTTTGGGGGGAAACTCTCTTTTAAAATTTTTTAACCACATTGATATACACTTGTGACGCATTGAAGGAAAGGAATGACCTTATTTGCTGGGTGTCAATGTGTTCCAGTTATATTTACAATGGCTGCTGGCGTAACTTTTATGTAATTTCTTGTTTTCGAGCTTTTACAAAGAAAAACGTACGCGTTATATTTGTTATATAAGTTGCATAATTACTAAAGTCGAAAACTGATATCATTTTGTGATAGGCTTTGTCCGTTTTGGCAAATGCAAAATGCTTTATTATTAAAATCACACCCAGCTGCATGATCAGTCGTAGAATTTTGGCTGATCATGATCAGCCAAACGTCTTACCGAAGAACAAACCGCGACAACTATTTTTGGTACAAGTTATGTAAGAACCACTTCAGTGACAGACTGGCCAGAATACTTATGAAATCAGGCAAAATCGATTCCTAACTGGTTTTAATTTCTACTTTCAGAACAATTCGATACTGCACTGCCACAGGGTTTTAACCAGGATCTGAAAACTGAGTGTCCGAATTGTCCATTTTGGGCCATGGCAACTGACAAATACCCTTTGGGGGCCATGGATGTTGTATATTTTTTGGCAATACTTTCACTACAGGGTGTCTATGAAAAGCAGTAATTTAACCGGCAATGTGTGCATGGGGTCAAAAAACATCGAAGAGATTATATTTTCTTGTACAGCTCAAACGATCCTATAGCTACAACGCGTATTGGATCAGCCATTGATTATGGTATCCCAATTTTCTATCACTTCTTATCTCAAAGACAAACTTGAACGTGCCCAGAAAAATGCAATGCAATTATTTACGCCAGTCATATGTCGTTCAAGGTGGTGAAAACTTCGAGTTCTCTGATCACTTGCTGAGCATCACGAACAATTATGTAGCAAATTATTTATTTAAGACGATATTAGACTGTCACAGTCTTCCACACAAATTTCACGGTTACCAGAACGATATCAAACTACAGTCTAGACCTGCAGGGCCTTCTATTTTTATTTCACCACTTTTAGTGAGAGGACTGGAACCTATCGAATTTGGGGACAGGAAGGGGGAGAGCGACTGACTCGTACCCAGATCTTGAAATGAAGATTGGACAAAAGGTAGTGTTGCATGATCTACTTCTACTCATTGGCGACTGGGTTCCAGTCAGTTACAGATAAACTCAACTGAGAGTAAAACGAGTTCTTTCATTCGTCACCTGTGGGTCAGGAACCGAACGTCATCAGTAATTAATATATCATTTTCACTTCCTTCAGCGCGATATGATGTCACCGTCCTATATTAATATAAAGAGTCAAAACGGAACTGAAGGCTTAAATGAAGGTTTATTAAACTTTGCCATTGAAACTGCCACCATTTACCAAATCCATGTTTTACATAAAATCACGCAAGAGACCACCTACCTTACTGTTTTATGTTGAGGAGGACAAATGTTGGGGAACACCCCTAGCTCCCGCACCCAAAATCGAGTTTGTCTGGGCTTTCTCCAATTATCCCACCCAACCACACCGTTATTCTGTCACAGTCATGTCCAGGTAAAAAATCCTTTAAACCCCCCCCCCCCCAGGCAAACACCCGTTGCTTTCGTAACATCGCTATATGTGCAGTTCTAAATATTTCTTAAAATAAACCCTGATTCAGAGAGTTAATGATTTCATGCCTGATATTTTCTTGCTAGGCTGTCTGGTACTGTGTTGACAAAACAGATAGTGGACGAATCTTCCTCCTCAGAATATTCTCTTTGGCTTTTAGTGGCAAGTAAAATAATAATGGCGTCATTTGAAAAATTATGAAGGAGGAAACATTCAATTTCGATATTCCTCGAATGTTATCTAAGCGCTTATTCTTGGAAACGTATTGTTGCAGAAATTTACAGAAAGCAAAAATCTTTCCCAACAAATTCCAACAACGATTTGTTACCCATGCAAGTGTTAAAAACCACTAAACGTTATGTTTATTTAACTGTTTTATTTAATTTCGTTCTTCAACAAAAGAAAATTTTCCAAGTACAAGATTAACTTAAAACTTAAGTTTTAAAAATTAAAGTTGAAATCTCAGAGCAGGTCTAAAGGAAGATTTATTAAACTTTGACATTGTAACAGCCACCATTAACAATTCCATGTTTTCTATAAAAACCGGCCAACAAACCACCTTGCTGGCTGTTTTCACGCACTGGGACCATCATAATCTTAGAACCTTTTCCACCTGAGAAAAATGAAGAAAATGTTCATGGTTAAGACTGACTCAGACAGGCTGAATGCCAAAAGTAATAATCAAGAATACGGACTCACTCAAATACGCACGCCTTTCTAATACGTTCGTCCCTTCACTACCGACACCTCTCTAATACAGACACACCTTTCTGTGCGTACGCTCTTCCGTCACATCTCTGTCATCCAAACACCTTTTTTATACGACTTCTCCATCTAATACACACGAACACCACTCTAATGCAGAAAGCTCTCTAATATGGACACATCTCTAATACAAACATCTCTCTAATACACTCATTTCCCTAACATACACCACACATCACACACAATCTAATCGAACTCTCAATACAGACATCTCTCATTAATACAAACATCTCCTAATACACTCATCCTAATACAGACACCTCTCTAATACACATCTATTAATACAGACAACATTCTAATGCGTACAGCCCTCTGATTCCGACACATATTTTTGTACGGTGACTTCTCCATCTAATATGGATACCTCTCTAGTACATACACCTCTTTAATTAGTACACCTCTTTAATCCGGATACCCCTCCAATACAGAAACCTCTCTAATACGGGCATCTCTCCATGAGGACACCTTTCCAATACGGTCACTACTCTAATAAAGAAACCTCTCAGTTGCCTATCTTGTGCGGACGCCTATTGAATGCGGGAACTTTGTACCTTCTTTGGATGAAGCAAAGGGATACTCGTCACAATTAAATCCTGGCATCTTTTTCCTTTTCAGTATTGTTAATTTTGGGCATCCAGAGGCACGTCTGTTTTTATTTATGTCATTCTTGGCCGCCACGCGGTGAAGACGTGTTGGCTTGCCTTGTTTTTTAATGGCGTCTCTCATGTTCCTACAAACTGCTGGCATGGTAGTTCCACGACCACACGGGAAAACGATCGTGGGGCATTTTCGGGCACGTTTTTCAAGAGATGACTCCTCGTTTTCTATTTCATCAGTTGAATCTTTAAAGATAATGAATCATTTAATTATTGTTGATAATGAGGTGCTTAATATTGATTACACAGGGCGTGGTTGCCTAATTCACCTGAACCAGAGGCTCGTGACAAACTTGTTTGGCAACGATTAAGACCTGCGATTTCGTTTTTGGTGAAGACACTCGAAGAAAAATCCTTGAAGCACAAATGAAAACTCCAACAGTACAATGCGGTCTTCTAATCTATCATTAATCTCCAAGGCTCGACTAACAGTAGCAGGATTAGAACTCATACATGTATACATGCAACTGCCGGTATTTAACTTGTAATTCCTCAAATTCAGCTACATGTAATGTTTTCTGGTTTGATAATCTTCAAAAAATATGATCACAGATTAGGAAACAATTGGGCCATTTATACGAGAGAAAATAAGTCGCGACTTAATCAAGTCGCGTCTTATTTAACTCACGAAAATACTCGTATAAATGGTCAAGTTCTGTCAAAACGCGAGATATTTTGAACCAGCATAAACCCTTGTTCTTATTATTCTTATTTTAGTCTCGACTTACATGTGTGTTCGTGACGTGAGCCTGGCGCACACGATGCGATTTTAGTCGGCCGATAAAAATCGTTTGACTAAAACTAACAAAATCGTTGTGTGTGCGGTGTCATTTTTAACCGACCTTAGTTGCTCGATTTTAATCGGACGACATCAAAACGTTTTGATATTATACGATTTTTATCGGTGGAATTTTAAGTATAACCAATGAGATTTCATGCTGTGATCACGTGCTTGTATTTATTTGGCAACATGGCGGCTACAGTTCAGGGAGCGTATTTTTTTCGTGATCGTGTGCGGAGTATACCGATGTATATCGGTATGTCAAACGATTTTTATCGGCCGACTAAAATCGCATCGTGTGCGCCAGGCTTTAATTAAGTCGTGACCGATTTTCTCTCGTATAAATGACCCTAATGTTTCTTAGTTTGCCTGCCTTAATTCAAGACAACTGTAGTTTCTTTAACGTTACCTAGTCTACCCTGGGCTTTAAGGGACCGGTCATTATTTATGACAGGGGGAGGGTGGTGGTACCGCGAAGAAAAATGTTTTTCTTGGCAAAAATTTTGCTGATCCAACCATTAAAAAGTCAGAATTTTTCATTACTCAACCTCAAAATTCAATTAAAATATAGAGACCCAACCATTCAGTTGTTACATATGTCTTCTGTGACATGAGTTTGATAACTGCTTGTGCGATTTTCTGCAGTGTAAAGTTGTTTGAACATGTACTTTCTTTGGAGACACCATTTGCCTCCACATAAATCGGAAAATGACCAAGATAGTGACTCTGATTGATTCTCAAAATTACAGGCATACATGACGTTGACATTGCTTTTTAGTCTTCAATATTTGAATGAGTCATGCTTTGGAAATGACAATGATTTTTTTATTACCCAACCCTTGAGTTGGTTCTTTTTTCATTTACCAAACTTTTTAATCGCTCAAAATTTTGTTTACCCGACCCTTTTCTCTTCGGTGCCACTCCCCACCATACATAGTGACCGATCCTTAATTTCACTAAGGGCCTGTTTATATGATCCCGGCCAGCTAGGCGGGACGGGATGCTTACCGAGATCCCGCTCGTAATACAAATTCTAAAGAGTGTTTATATGATCCCGCCTAGACGGGATCTCGGCAACAGATGCCGGGATCCCGCCTAAGCGAGATGAAAAATTCCCATATAAACACTTCATCCTGCCTAGCCGGGACGAAAAGTTCACATATAAACACTTCATCCTGGCTAGGCGGGATGAATTTTTCCCTTTTGAGCATGCGTAAATGCTTTTATTGCAACAAAAATATGACGTCAAGCACTTAAATGGCTTCATCCCGGCAATGTATTTTGTCCATATAAACACTAGGCGAGTATCCCGTCTAGGCGGGATGAAAACGTCCCGTCCCGTCTAGGCGGGATCATAATATAAACAGGCCCTAAGGAGCAATGAAAATCATTGATGTTTAAGTTTGTACGAAGGATGATACGAACCTCCCAAAGTATTTGCCGTCGTGAATGCAACCAACAGAACGACACAAACGGAAAGCAACAAAATCTTCATTCTCCACAATTTGACGAGAATTCAAAAAATATCCTGTGACAAATTAAAACTTTTAACTAAGCCAATTCCAATAACATTAATTGCTTGATTATTGGGTTGCGTAAATTAAAAGGCCAAGTCATGCAATGGTCGGCTAGGGGGAAAAATTGTCGCCCAAAAGGTTGCATGGGTGTCAGTTTTTTCTTCTGGATTATTTTCAGTCAAATCTTTATTTAAGCACGGTAGCTTCATCAGGTTTACAAAAAAACAGTTATCTACATTAAGAAGTTTAAAAATTTTTCAAGCCTATGCTATGTTACACTAATATTTATACCTGTTTTCCATGAATGCCGTGAGTATCGAATATGATGTTTCAACAATTGTCGAAATTCAGTAAGAGATTTCGCTTGTCTTATATTGCTAGGTAAGCTGTTCCATAACACTGCACCACTAATACTATAGCTAAGCTATTTTTAAGATAATTGGTGCGGGGTTTAGGAGCAGCAAGTTTGTTCACGGAGTCTCGAAGATTTTTCACATGATTAGATTCATTAATCATGCTGGCTACCTGTCTTTGTCATCTTTAATACAGTAATGTGAAAAAAGTTCTTTAAAGAACATACCTTAATTTATAAGACCAAAATATTCACTGCAATAACAGCGTTGGGACTGAATTACTGATACAATATTTTCATATTATAGTTCATTGTCAAAAAATCTCAGTACGAATTCTAAACAATGTTGCAATTGTTTTTCTTTCATTTCAATAAAAAAAGCACGAGATCATGAGCACCGGATATATAGGCCCACTAAGCCGTCCAGTATTTCAGAGGTTTATTGAAAAAAATAATGAAAAATAAAAGTCCCCGAATAATTTAGAATATATTCCTGTATTAATTACAAACGTTATCCAACAAAATTCTCATAAAGTCCAATCATAAAATGTCCGCCGGACTTTCGAAAGTCCAAAAGTCACGTACACTTTCTGGGAGTGATTTGCATGCCCTTCGATATTTTAAATTGATAACATCTACGCTTAGGTGATCAATAATCATCCTCATGCCTATATCGGCCTATACGACCTTTAATACAGTGAAGTGAAAAGTATAGTCTATAAAAAAATGTACCTTAGTTTATAAGACCAAAATATTCACTCCAGTAACAGCGTTGGGACTGAATAACTGATACACTATTTTTATATTACCTCATTGTTAAAAAGTTTTGTGTAGGAATTATAAACAGTGTTTCAATTGTCGTCATTCATTTGAATAAAAGAACACCAGATGAGTACCTGTATGGTAGGCCCACCAGGCCGTCCAGTATTTCAGAGGTTTAACTGTAACCCATGCAGGATTGAAAAACTATTTCATTGCAGAATTTTGAAAGCTTGTCAGCTTGAAAACCCTAAATAAATCAATTGCTGTTGTCCTTCGCATGAGCCCAACAAGATTGCATGCAAGGCAGTTCACATATTGTAGCTATCGATTGATTATAAAAAATTGATTATGTAATGACTAATGTGCAGATATACAAATGAATATAATTATCGCGACCTAATAAAAAGTCTACGTAGATTTTTGGTAGGTCATTTGCCCAAAATCTTTAAAATTATTGTACTGATATATCATGAATAGATTTATTATACATGGTAAATCAAATTTAAAAAAGATCGATATCTTCATTTACAATCTCAGCCAATTAACTATTATTGTATTATTATCAAATATCCATGCATGCAATTATGTTTTTGGTGGGGCAAATCACTCAAAAAGTCTCGTGCACTTTGACGAAAAGTCCATGACCATGTACTTAATAATGAAATTTTTTCTTCAGTAAATACGGATTCTGACTATATCACACAAATATTTTTTAATATCAAATTGGGAAAATATAACTCCATTTTACTGCATATAGTTTCAGCAAAACATTAAAAATAAGAACATATTCCTTTATTAGTCTAACTACAAAATGTCGAAGAAAATTCTCTTTGCAAAAAGTAGGCCTACAACCATAAAATCTCTGGACTTTCGAACGTCCAAAAGTCCCGTACATTTTCTAGGAGCGATTTGCCCCTCGAAAATTTAAGCAACATCTACATGTGCTTATAAAAAGTCAACAATCATGGTATGCCTATCTCTAATACAGCCGGTAATGTGAAAAGTTCTGTAAAGAACCTTAATTTATAAGACCAAAATATTCACTGCAATAATAGCGTTGGGACTGAATTTCTGATACAATATTTTCATATTATAGTTTATCGTTAAATGATCTCAGTATAGGAATTTTAAACATTGTTGCAATTGTTTTTTCTTTCATTTCAATAAAAAAACACGAAATGAGTACCTGGTACAGGCCCACTATAGGCCGTCCAATATTTCAGAGGTTTAACTATAGCGCTCCAGGAATTAAAAATATTCCATTGAAAAAAATAATGAAAAATAAAGAATATATATTCCTGTATTAATACAAAAGTCCCCAATTATTTAGAATATATTCCTGTATTAATTACAAAAGTCCCCAAATGGCAAATGTCCGACAAAATTCCCATAAAATCCAACCATAAAATATCCAGACTTTCGAAAGAATCAAAAATCTATCACGTACACTTTCTAGGAGTGATTTGCCCCTCCGAATATTTTAAATTGATAACATCTACGCTTAGGTAATCAATAATTATCCTATACCTATTTTTAGTACATTAAATTGAAAAGTAATTTTATAAAAAACGTACCTTAATTTATAAGACCAAAATATTCCCTGCATGTAACAGCGTTAATTGGGACTGAATTACTGATACACTATTTTTATATTACCTCATTGTTAAAAAGTTTTGTGTAGGAATTATAAACAGTGTTTCAATTGTCGTCATTCATTTGAATAAAAGAACACCAGATGAGTACCTGTATGGTAGGCCCACCAGGCCGTCCAGTATTTCAAAGGTTTAACTATAACCCATGCAGGATTGAAAAACTATTTCATTGCAGCATTTTGAAAGCTTGCTAGCTTCAAACCCTAAATAAATCAATTGGTGCATATGCTGTTCTTCGCAAGAGCCCACCAAGATTGCATGCAAGGCAGTTATCAAGTTTATAGAAAATAGACATATATAGATTAAAAGATTTCACATATTGTGTTAAATGAGTGGATTGACAATAAAAAATTGATTATGTAATGAGTACTAATGTAATACAAATAAATATAATTATCACGACCTAAATAAAAAGTGTACGTATATAGATTTCTAGTAGGCCCAAAATTTTTTAAAATTATTGTATATATATATATATATATATATATATATATATATATATATATATATATATATATATATATATATATATATATATATATATATATATATAGTTTTTCGTTTTACCTCAAAAAACCACAACAATCTGTTTCATATATATAAATTTATATTTATGGAAAAATAAAATTTAAAAAAGATCGACATCTTCATTTACAATCTCAGCCAATTAACTATTATTATTAATATTATTATATTATTATCAATATTATTATAATAGTTTTGTTTGTGGAAACACCACGTAAATTTATTACTGCAAAGCTTTCGATATATTATTATATTATTATATTATTATATTATTATATTATTATATTATTATCAAATATCCAATTACGTTTTTGGTGGGGCAAATCTTTAAAAAGTCTCGTACACTTTGACGGAAAGTCCAAGACCTTGTACTTAATGAAATTTTATCTTCAGTAAATACGGATTCTGACTCAGGAATGCTCTGGAACGAATGTTTTTAATAAGTATTTTTTAAATATTGAATTGGGAAAATATAACTGCATTTTACTGCATATAGTTTCAGCAGAACATCGAAAACAAGAACAAATTCCAACCATAAAATCTCTGGACTTTCTAGCAGTGATTCGCCCCACGAAATTTTAAGTAACATCTGCATGTGCTTATAAGAAGTCAATAATCATGGTATGCCTATCTCTAATACAGTAATGTGATAGCCTAAGGCCAAAATATTCACTGCACTAATAGCGTTGGGACTGAATTACTGATACACTATTTTCATATTATTGTTCATTGTTAAAAAATCTCAGCAGGAATTCTAAACAGTGTTGCAATTGTTTTTCATTTATTTGAATAAAAGAACACCAGATGGGTACCTCACCAGGGTCACCAGGCCCGTCCAGTATTTCAAAGGTTTATTAATTTAACTATAACCCCCAGGAATTAAAAACGATTTCATCGCAGCATTTTGAAAGCTTGTCAGCTTCAAAACCTTAAATAAATCAATTGCTGTTGTTCTCAAGTTTATAGAAAATATCGAATAACATCTATGCTTAGCGGGAAATTATAATAATCATCCACCTACTTACAATTAATTAACTTTAATACAGTAAAGCGAAAAGTAGTCTAAAATCTTAATTTATAAGACCAAAATATTCACTGCAGTAACAGCGTTGGGACTGAATTACTGATACACTATTTTTATATTACCTCATTGTTAAAAAGTTTTAAGTAGGAATTACAAACAGTGTTTCAATTGTATTTCATTCATTTGAATAAAAGAACACCAGATGAGTACCTGTATGGTAGGCCCACCAGGCCGCCAAGTGTTTCAGACGTTTAACTATATATAACCCATGCAAGATTGAAAAACTATTTCATTGCATCAACTTTAATGCCTTAACTTTTCGTTTTTTTTGTCCTTTTTTCGATTTTTGAAAAACATGCAAAAAAAAAGTAAGGGTAACGCCTTAACAGAGGATGGGAAAGGGTACTTTCGTGAGCCGTGAAAGGTCAATATTCGTTCGCGTGATATGTGAAATGCTTCATTTTAGTGTCGTGAAATGTGATTTGCTCTACAGCCGTGAGTCGCGTGATTGTTGATAAAAATGCTCCGTGAAATGAGAATTAAGGATGCCTGTTTCGTGAGCTGTGATTATTATAGTGATTATTATAATAAACATGATGCGCGATAATCAAATTTATATGATCTCACTCGATTACACAAGAGTAAAAACTTCCGGGGCCTTTCGCGAGGTTCCTGACGCTGAGGACAAGGTTCCTAACGTTGAGGACAAGGTTCCTGACACTGAGGACAAGGTTCCTAACGTTGAGGACAAGGTTCCTGACACTGAGGACAAGGTTCCTGACGCTGAGGACAAGGTTCCTGACGCTGAGGACGAGGTTCCTGACGCTGAGGACAAGGTTCCTGGCGCTGAGGACAAGGTTCCTCGCGCTGTGGACGAGGTTCCTGGCGCTGAGGACGAGGTTCCTGGCGCTGAGGACAAGGTTCCTGGCGCTGAGGACAAGGTTCCTGGCGCTGAGGACGAGGTTCCTGACGCTGAGGACAAGGTTCCTGGCCCTGAGGACGAGGTTTCTGGCGCTGAGGACGAGGTTCCTGGCGCTGAGGACGAGGTTCCTGGGGCTGAGGACGAGGTTCCTG